TACTTAACAAAGAGCACAAAATAAATCAATATCCCTACTTTCCTTAAACGTTATCATTTATGCTCGCTTGTTTACAGTGGTTCTTTTTAAAAAAAACTACATCCTTTTAGAGAAAAGGGATCCATCCCGTGATGACAAGTAAACTGTGAACAGCACAACCTCTCAAGTCACGCCAGAGCAGGTCCGTTACAGATCTGTGGCTCTCATCTTCTGCGAGGTGGCATGCTTTGCAAACTTGTCTTGCCTACTGCACCCATGAAACTAGAGCTCCTGGGGAAGTGTCTCGCTGTTGATGACTGTGGTAGGGAGTTTGATTTGCTGCAGAGCTAGCTGATATGGAAGCTGTGCTGCTAAAGATTGTTGACTCTCCTGGCAGCAGTTTGGCATGTCGTTCTTCATCTCATTCCTCTGGGAAGGCCATACTTTGCAACAATAAGCACTGAGAAGATATTAACAGGCCTAATGGTTTAGTCTGTCAATGCTGTGCTTCAAGAGCCTGCCTGTCTTCCTACCATAATTTATTTTCTAAAGTTTGGTTTGACTCAAATACAGGCAGTTTAGTAACAAGAAGAGTTGTCATCAGTGTTTTATTCAGATTACTGGATTGCTAGAGAGAGTTGTATTTGCATTTACATGGAGAAATTTCCAAAATGACTGATGGCTGAGAGTGAGGAAGAAGGTCCAGTTCTTTACAGATTATTGCTTTAAGCTGGCCATTTTGGATGTCCAACTATATTCTGTAAGGTATTAGAAAGCTCTTAGAGCTTGCCTTAATGCTTTCCTCATTAGATATGATTGCCATTAGAAGCTCTTTTGAAGTGCTGTTTTTGTCCGTCAGCGTGAGGCTGACTATGAGGAAAACCAATTTGTCGTATCTAATTACTGCTTTCCTGATGCAACACACCGAGCTTGTAATTTTTGCATCAGCGTTTCTCAGCAGAGAAAGTTCTGCAGCTGCAGTTCTCTGCTGGTATCATTCCTTCATGTTCCTGCCACTGTTTATCTTTCTCAGATCTTCAGTGTCTTGATTAAATATCTCGGGACTGGTATAAGAGACTGAGTTTGCGCCTTCCTTTGTAAATTTAGATGTCTGCAAGAGTGGGAATTAAGTCAGCCAACAAACTCTTTCTAGAAGATTGCAAACTCATGAGATTACGGACTCATTTTTCCTATTATTCTGCGTACGTGACGGCAGCGCTCTGGAGTTACATGCTATTAGTGATTCCTTCCCCTGCTGCAGATGTATTTGTATAATGAAATATTTGAAAAAATAGTCTTTTAGTTTGTTCTAAAGCATATTTCTAAAAGCTTCTACATAAAAATGATACTTTCTGGCAGGAAGAATAATCTATTGTTTAAAGCACCTGGTCTCACTCCATGTTTGGCAAATATTTCGAGGTTGATATGGAAAGTTCTTGGCAAAGAATCCTGCATGTTTGGATCAGAAAAGATGTTGCTTAACTTTATCCCCCAATTACTAACGTTGGCTATTGAAATACAAATCATCTTACACTGGCTGTTTAGAAGCAAATTCAGTGTTTTAGTGTTGGAAAGCACAAGTGAGCATTAGGTTCATTTCTTTTCTCTCTAAATTGTAAAGTTTGGTATCAGTCTTTCTTTTAGTAGTTAAAATGTCATTTCAAGTATCCTTTGTTCATATTTAGTCCAGGTCGTACCATTATCTGTTTGCATGCCGGCAGCAATCCGTTTGGTTTAATATCTGTCCTGTCTCCTACAAGGATTCTCCTGCTGCCACTCTCCCTGGAATGTTTTGACGCTTCAGTTTTACTCTCCTTCTCCTTAAAAGCTAGAGAAACCCAAATGGAAGGCTTTTTAAACTTCCAACAAGTGTGACCAGTCTATACATAGTGATGGACAAGAGATCCGGCTTTTCAGTCATTGCCTTGAGTGGCTTTTTGCAAGTTGTTTTGCCTATTTCTGATTCTGTTTCACTTTCTACCTCATGTACCTTTCAGCTGTGAGACCTTCTGAGTAGGGACATGCATGTGTGTGGATATACTGCCTAGAAAAATGGAATAACCTTATTTATTTTTGATTTAATGTATTATTTATTTGATAATCTGTCTAGCTCATTACTGGTACTGCATATGCGTCTTTCAGTGTCTCTTCTTGTGCGTGTGAAAGCCATCTAATTCAAGCTATCACACTCACATAATGATGATTTTCATGCAGAAAAAATTCTGAAAAGTTAGAGACTTCTGAGTTTTTCCACAATCACATGGGTTCATGAGTTGAGAATATGGGTAATCAGGTACTCGGGTGACAGACCAGCATTTTCGGTTTTGGAGTTGGTGAAAAGATTTTGTCCAGTCCCATGGGAAGATGGCTGCAACACAGCGATTCATATATCTAATGTACTGCAACCCTGTTTGGGACTAGGCAGCTGAAGTATTTAGGAGAAAAAAAACCTCTCCAAGAACAGCCTGACCTCTAAACAGTTCTTTCCACTGAGACACTTCAGCGGGTGCTCCCATCAGTAAACTAGCCTGTGTTCAAAATATTTGTAAAAGTTGAGGTTTGCTATCCATGGCATCAGACTGAGCTGCCTGGCAAGTAATCTTTTGCTTAGTGTTGATGTTTTTATAATTTCCAAAATAAAAATTAAACTTTCTGGTGCAAGAGTCTCTCTTGAGAGAGGACTCTCTCCTTTATCTTAGAATGAAGACAACTTAATTGTAAAGAAATGTTCATGCTGTTAAATTATTTTGAAATGAAAGGCAGAGTTTCTATTTGTCCTAGCTGTTCCTCTGAAAAAAAAAATCTCAAAAAACCAAAGGGGAGGGCAATTTCTCACACAAATGTTCACAAAAAAACCAACATTCCAACAACTGTCTGTGGAGTAGGATGAAGTGTGCTCTGATGTCGAACCCCTCTGCTATTAGCTCATTTTTGAGAGACGCTTTGACACTATAATATAGGGTTGCAAATTGGAATTGCAACACCCTGCTATTGGGCCAAGTGATGAAGCAGCACAATAACTGCGTGCTTGATCTTACCACTCTTTCTTTAACGTGTATGTAAAAGATAGCGGGAGCCTTTCCAAGCATGTGTCAGGGTATTTGATGCTGTTAGATGGGGAACTTCAGTCTCTGCGTGGTTAGTGTGTGTGTGTGTATGTTTTACTAGTATTTTATAGAGTGTAGTAACTACAGGCCAAAGGTTCAGGTTCTTTAACAGTTGGGTTTTGTTTATTATTAAAAGCTTATAGAAATACTAATTAAACTGGTGGATTATTACAGAGAATACAGTTCTTATGCTCTTGTCACAGGAGTTTCATAGGTAATTGGTCTTGACCTGCATGTCATCTTTAATATTTCATTTGCTCCAGAGTATTATTACTCACTTCCTTTAAGATGATAGCTAGGCTTTTTATGCAGCTAAACTTCTGTTTAACCTTGCTATGAGAATGTGACAGTAGGCTAGTTCAGACAGGTTAACATTCATTTGGTAACCAGCCTGCTTAACCAGCCTGCTTCAACCTGCAGCAAATTAAATCTTTGTGAGTTCTAGCAGACAAGTGATAAAGTCATTCTGAATTATGTATAAAAATAAATGGAGTATTTTCAGTGCTCATGGCAGTAAATGAAATTTAAGGCTTATGATTTATTCTTGGGTTTTTGTTAAGGATGATTGAAATTTATTTTAACTTAATGTTTTTACAGTCTAATTAGGAGGATGCTGTATTTCTGAAATATATATAATGTAAGTGCTCATTCTGTGCCCCGCAGAAATAGTAATGGTTTTTATTGGATCTCTGTCCTCTGCTTCTTCTGCAAAAACCATTAGAAACAATATTTTCAACATACAGCCAGGACTATCTTTATCCACATTGCTAAGAATTGTACAGCATCAAATATTTTGTCAGGTCCAGATTCTGCAAGAACTGGATTTGTTGCCAAAATAAATTCACTATCTTCATTTAAGAGCTATTCACATTGTAAATTTATCCCGCGTTGTTATTAAGATAGGGCTTTGGTGCTTCTGAAAGATTTTAATTGTGGTTATCAACCTCACTTGCCCAGGACTGATGCACTTTCCAGAAGAGGGCAGAAGGCCGGGTGTACGCTTACGCCATGTAAAGAAGTGCGTGAAGGGTGCTTGAAATGGCAAGGACAGCACAGAGGGTTCTGATCATAGAAGAGTGGATAATTTGCATTTTTAGTCATATTGATTAGTACATTCTAAAATGCAGTGTAAGATCAGATCTTCAGATACTATTGTTGTGTCTCTGTAGGCATCTAGTAATTTTTTTTTCAAATTATGCTACCTTTTTTCCACTTGCAGTCTTACTAATTTTGAAAAGTTGAGGTTTAGGCATACAGCAGAAGTGCTGTTTCTGTTGGGACTGGTAAATGAACATCTCTCTTGTCTATGCTGACTGCAATTTCACCAGCATTGCTGTGTTTGTGTGTATCCTTTTCCATATGAGAAATGTGGCATGTGCCTTTGACATTAATAATGACCAAGATGGAAATTAAATATATTTTTTAAGTAGCCACTCTGATTATGTCTTTTACAATGTCTGGCAATAAACTGCTCTTTCAAGATTTCTTTTTTTCCCAAGATGATTTAAATGTTTTTAACTAGTTGTATGAGTACCTATCATCTTCACTTTAACATTTGCTTATCGATGAGGAAGGAAAAAATTACACTTACTTCATAAAGGCATACCACTGTAAAAGTTATCATGTACAAATAATGGTTTAAAATAACAATTCAAGACAGTTTTGAGTTTCCAATTCCATTTAGTTTGTTTTGATACTCTGTGCATACGTACCTACCTGTACAACTCAGTTGTTGTTTCTTTGAATGTTTTTACTTAAGCAATCATTTTAGTTGTTCAGGCTTCTTTCTTTACGTTTGTATAATTAACTTGGCCTTCTGCAGTGCAGTCTTCAGTTTGAATCTCAAAGCACCCTTAAAAAACCACAATCCTCAGTTGAGACTATAGCTTTAATAAATGATCGTTGCTTTGTTTGTAGATGACTCTAGCTGTTTCGGGACTGACTTTTCCTTGCCATCGACTTACAGTTGGAAGAAGGTCTTCACCTGTACAAACAAGGGAACAGTCAGAGGAGGTAAGATCATCTTTATTTAACAAGTATACTCTAGGAATAACCAGGGAAAGCTCATTTTGCCGTGGTCACAGTCTCTTCTATTGTCAAATACATCAGTAGAATTGCATTTTAAAAGAATCACTTTACAATTCCTGTAACACATAATTGTGACAAAGTAAGGAACTAGGTAAATGAGTCTTTGAAGAAAAAGAGGAAAAACAAATTAAGCAAGTCACAGTAAGCATTGAAAAATACTCCAAATTAAACAGAAGGCTGTTATATGAAAACATATATTTTTAGGACTAGCAGAAAGAGATGTTTGCAGACTGTATAAACTCTCATTTTGTTGTTTCTAACTATTAATAGTTTGGGTTAAAATTTCTAATGCCTTTGTCCTTCCTCAAAATGAATTTAATATAATCAGTTTCCCATTTTCCACACACTTTTCTTACCATTTTATTTAGAGAACTTTAGCACATAAGGTTTATCTTGCTGCACAGAAAGGGTGTGTTTCAGTCTGTTCAGCTCATTTGAGTTGGCAAGCTGTGAGGTACAGTCAGGATGCAAGCCTGGATATATGCTGTTGGATAGCTGTTAAAAATCAGAGGGTGGTGAGACAATATTGTTCTAGCTATACCTGAACCTCTTAGCAGGTTAAATAGGTGGTTATTGTTTTCTCTGGGATACACAGCATAACTGTGTCATTGCTTCTTTACTTCATTCTTTCAAAATTATCTATTTGTCCAACTTGTAGAATTTTCTTGTAGATTTTTTCATTCAGAAAACGTTCTTTATTTGAAGTTCTTAATGTGTAGCTGTTGTAGGGAGAGATCCAGCATGTTTGGAGCTCTTTGCTCCTCTCTTGGTCTCTTGCATGCTCGAGCTGAAGCCTCTCATTCCATAATACGCTTTGTTGCACCTTCAGAGTCATGTAAATTTTCTGTAGTGTACTATCACTGTAACTCCTAGGTCAAGTGGAGCTGGAATAGTTGTTCATGAAAAGAAGTCGGTTTAGAGGCAAGTTAACATGGAATAGTTAAAACCAAAATTTTCTGAGCTGTTTTATGTTTCAGAGGACATTAAATCCAAAAGGTCTGACAGTGGGACATGGAGGCACAGGTGGGACCTTAGCTCCTTGCAGAAAAATGTTGATCTTTCTCCTTTATACTGATATGCTAAAGAAATCAGCCTGTTATTCAACACGCAATAGTCTGGTGTGCCAAGTGAGGACTACAGGTGCTAAATTTGCATGGAAGAGATTGCAATACAATAGATGGGTACCTTTCCAAGGACTGTCCCCCACCGTGCAAGTATTGTTACAGTAGATTTCATCTGGATGTCTAAAATTAGTGACAGATTGTGTCGCTCTTCTCACTTTTTTCTTATGCAGTTAAACCAGCTGTAGTACCTTTAGATGGAAAACAGCATTAACTTTAGGTACCATTTGCTCAACTATGTGTGTACAGAGCCAGCTCCTTAGTTATTTAATAATGCATTCTGTCACATAATATTGCCATGTCAACCAAACTTCTGGTAAAAAGTAGATCTTTTTTATCAAAAGCAATCTGGTAATGTTGTATAAAATAGTAAAACAAAATGCAGCATGTCAAGTGTTTTTATAGGAATGCCCAAGTATTTTTCAGTATGTGTGTGTTTCATATTTCACTGAAGATGGTATCTGTAATAGAGGCTTACGGTGGATTTTGGGTTTTGTTTTTATATAGCAATGCACTGATGTTCATATGGTTAGTGACAGTGACGGAGATGACTTTGAAGATGCTACAGAGTTTGGAGTTGATGATGGAGAAATGTTTGGAGTAGCATCATCTGCCTTGAGGAAATCGCCAATGAGTAAGAGTTGACAGTTATTTACAATTAACTGGCGATTGTACAGCACTAGTGAATGCAGAGGTGTGATGGGTCTGCATAGTAAGAAACAGGAAAGTATCTTTTGATAGGAGTGTTAGAATTGAGTCTCATGTCTGATGGATGTATCAAATGAAAGTACTGGAAACATAACTGGCAACTATGAAAGCGTCTCCCCATGGAGGAAGTTTCTTAACCTTACGATTTTAGCTTATAGTTGAAGAATATTAATTTAACTCTGAGAAATTAGAATCTCTAACCAAATGTACCTGTAGATAACTAGATTTCTGCTTTCCTGTTTTGAAAAATCTGTAGATTTTCACTTCAGCATCTTGTAGTGATGAATATTTTTAGTCATTTACATTAAATAAGTTTTTCAGTGATTATTTGCCCTTGATTTATGAAAAGGATTGAGCAGGAGCAGTCAATTACCTCCTATATGCAATTCTATATACTCTTTATTTACTTTAGGCTTGCATTAGTGTTACCTTAGAAGTTTTTTGACAGAAAAATATGTAATAACATGGAAAACTTTTAAATATTACGTATAGGAAGTTAAAAAAAAAAAAAGAAAATATAGTGGATCAAGCCTTTCAAGACAGTCCTTTCATTTTAATATATTAAAGTAAGTCCAGAGTGTTAACTCTGAACATGTGATAGATCACATTGCACTGGCCATGAGGATTTTACTGTTTGGAAAGCCTGAATATATTCATGAGAGTGTCTGGAAATTTCATGTCTTACCAAAGGTTCATAGTTGATAGTCTTTCATTAAATTTATATGGTTGCTTGGTAACCACCTCAGTAAGCTGTCAACATTTAAAAAAAAAAAAAAATCTATAAGCAAGTGAGTTCGCGTATTAAAATCTGTTTCCATAAGGTTGCATTTAACTTGTATTTTTCTTTCTTTTTTTTTTTTTTTTTGAAGTGCCAGAAAACGCTGAAAATGAAGGAGATGCCTTATTACAATTTACGGCTGAGTTTTCTTCAAGGTAAGCTTAGCCTGTTAACTGTGCAATTCTTGAACAAACCAAGTAAAATTTAGTAAATAATGAAAATAAAAATAAACCAAATGGACATATTTTCTTGTGGGTTCATAGCATACTTAGGCATCTTAATCTAATTTATTTTAAGCTTAACTTTGTTAGAACTATTTCTGAACTAAAATTATTTCTCAGACCAAGTTAGAGTGACAGATTCTTGCCTCATTTAATTTGTCACTAATTAATATAATTACTTAATTATGTAAGGGTCCAGAAGGATGTTAAAGACTCTGATTATGTATAGTAATTTTAATATGATATACAGGAACAGAAAATCTGAAACTTATTAATATTGAAAAATATATACAGACTTGCAACAAGAGTTTTCACAATAATGAAGTGGTTGGATGAATCTCTACTTTAAAAAATATAAAAATGCTGCTTTTTTTTTTTTAAGCTTTATGCGACCAGATCGTGCATTGTTAAACAGTCGCCATGTTTCATCAATAGGTAGAAGCTGCAAACTAATGTACTGCAAAGTAACGCAAAGTTTATATGCCTTCTGTTTTCACTCCTCTCTGATGAAATGTTCATTTATATATGTGAGATGTATTAATGTGTAATACAAGGATAGCCTTCGATTAACCTTTAAGAATAAAGAGAGGAAATAAGTTATGACTAAAAAATTATATAGAACGTCAGGTGTACGAAAATTTGTAAGGTGGCAGTTAGTTACTTTGAGCTTTTGAATGTTGGGAGACAGATGGCTTTTAAAGGACATAAGGGAAATACTTTAGAACTGTAGTACTTCATCTTTCTAAAGATTTAGCCAATGCATTTATAGAATATATGAAGAGGTAGAATACTGAAGTTACTTATTTTTGTGATTCTTTTTTAATTAATTTGAAATTTTATCTCAACTAGATATGGTGACTGCCATCCTGTTTATTTTATTGGATCATTAGAGGCTGCTTTTCAAGAAGCCTTCTATGGGAAAGCTAGAGATGTAAGTGTGTACTGAAATTACCGTATTTAATATGGGGGAAAATGGAAATCACTGTAAACGTTTCATTTTTATTTTAAAAAAGGTAAGCTGTATTTTTGAGTTATCTTCGTTTTATTGTTTGCAAAGAGTTATACTCATTTAGCTGACTAACGAACATACTTATCTTGGCTGTTGTTGAAATTACACTGAATAACTCATGCTTTCTAATCATTCACGCTGTATTTTTATTGGAGTCCCTTGGTCATGAAAGCTTCTCCCCCGGCTTTTCTTCCTGAAATAATGGTGTCCTAGCACCACATAACACTGGCTGCGAGTCTTGTGGTTAACAAGTTCAACGTTGCATGTTGGTAACTCCTTTGAAGGATGGCTAATGAAATTGTAAATTTAAATTGAAAGGTCTCTGAAATACAGTGCACTTTTTTCCCTTTGTACAGCCTTTATCTGCCAAGTAAATTCCAGTACTAAAGTTTGGTTATTTAATTTTTCTGTACATCCAACCAGACATCTCAAGTTTCTGTTATTCCATGCACACTTTTAAAATCAGTATTTTAATAAAATTAGAATTGGGATAGTTTATTTAAGTTTTGGTGACTTGAATTCGCTAAGGAGAAACCCAAACCCCTGTGTAATTAAGCTGAAACACAAACAAGAAAATCATGCTGTTTAAATTTACTTTTTGTTGTCTTGGTAGATATTTAATTTTAAAATGAAGAATGTTTTGGCTTCCTGTAGTTATTCATATTGGAAGGAACAGCTATGTTATATTAGGGGCTGTTATGATAAGTGTGCAGTGTTATGAATCTACACTGTACAGCTTAAGTTAACACATACTTAGCATGTTGTGTGCACAGATAGTTTTCTCACATTCTAAGTTTCACGGATATTTTCATGTCTGTGCAGATTTCAGAGCATAAATGGGTACAGAATAATTCAGTGGCAAAGTATTAATTCATAATAACTCATTAAAATGCATGTTTAAAAGAAAATTATTATTTCAACAAGAAAAGTGTTGGAGTTAGGAAGTTTACTTTGTGTCATTTCATCAGTAATGGTTGACAATGCATCACTACAATAATGGATGAGAGCCCATTAGGAGCTTCCACAAATATTTTTTTATACCTGTAAATGTGATATCAATGTAGTGCAGTTATTTAGGGTTTTTTAATACTCCAAGTACTTCATATGCTACTTACATAGCACATCTGAAATTCATATCGCCTTACATTTCTAATATTTTGCAAGGTAGTCAGGGCAAATCCTCATCAGCATAAAGTCACACGCTTAGGAAAGTATTATTTTTGTGGCTTTTTTCTTTAATTTTTTTCCTTCAAATATTGCTTTAATTTTTGAAAGCCCTTCCCCCCAACTACCCTGTGGAATGACATTATTTTCATTGTACATTCTGATTTAAAACAAAGGTTTGAGAATGTATATATACCATTTATTTTTACTGTGTTTTTCCTGTTACAAACAAGTTTTTTCAGTACTGCCTCCTGGAATTCATAATTGAGGAAAAGGATACATTATTTTATCTTTTTATAATTGCATTTCATAAAATAATTCAATATGTATATCAGTATAAGAAAAAAAGCTTAGGAGAAATTGCAACCTGTATGTCTTGTCTTCTAATTTGTACTGTGGAGGGCACTTAATTTTACCAGGGCAACAGATGAGCTTCAGGCACCAGCATTCTTCACTTGAAGTGAGAAATTGAGTTCCAAGAGTAAATAAAAACAAGATTGAAGGTTTAAATCCTCTGCTAGGCTTTTTGAACTTATATACTCATTAAATGTTTATTGGAGTGGTGGGATTACGAAGGATTTGGGTAGCTTCATCAACTGGTATATACTTAATCACTAAGTAAAACACTACATTTGATAGAGTGTTTCTCACGATGCCACACTCAATCCATCTTAATGAAAACCGCTTCAAACTGATTTAATTTGAGAGCACTTGGCATCTTGAGTGCTCAGAGATCTTAGCCTTTTCTTGACAAATTCTCAACACTGTCCAGAGCAGAAGGTGCACTCTACAGTTCAGGCCTAGTGCGACAGCCATCAGCTACATTTTTCATCTATATTGTGGATATTTTTTCCCTCCAAAAAATCCCAGTATATATGAACTTGAAGCCTTTTTGCAGGAATATTTTAGTTTGGGTTATTTTAAGAAAAGTAACTTATGTCAGCACATGTGTTTTAAACACAAGTTATAGGTTAAAATTATTTTTAAGAGAATAGATGTTATTCTGTTAAGTCTTAGTGTCTTTCGGTTTTTTGTGTTGGAAGGGATGATAATTCATAGCTGCTAAGGAAAATGTTACTTGAGAAGGAAATACCTTGTAAAAAAGTTTAGGTGTTTGCCTGTTACTTGTGTTTTGTTTAGCTTTTATTATTGTAGTTTTTCAATTCGAGTCTTTAGATAGTCAAGATTAACATGCATGATGTGTATCTTTTTTTCATTTAGAGCAACTGCTACCATGATTGTGCCAGTTCTAAGTAGGAGAGATGGAATGAGGTCAAATGTAGCTCTACTTTAAAACATATATATCTCTTTAGCCCAAAAATACAATAGCCAAGATGTAGAGCTTTCCCTCCAACACAGGTGTCCTTGGCAATGAAATCCTCAGTTACCTGCTGCAGCCTCATCAGGGCTTTGTGTGTTCATTTCCAAGCCTCACTGTATATACAACACAAGAAAATAATTTCATTATTAATTTGTTTTAATTGGGTCAGGAAGAGAAAGAGAGACAGGTTTATTAAATTCATACATACGTTCTTCTTTTGTGAAATTCTTCCTCTTCTTGTTGTGCCAATTGGAAAGAAGCATTTCTCTGTTCTATTACTTCACGGAGAACAAACTTTTGCTGAAGTAGCTACACTATCATAGAAAGACCTAAACCAGATGCCATGGAAGAAGTCTTGTAATGGACAGTTTTAAAAAAGATGTTTGGGGAGGTTTCTCTGTGACTGAAAGCAGTTTGTGGGTGCCCTGTGTTCTGAAACATCAGGGGATTTATCCTAACTTGCAGTGTTACTGTTATTAATTGCTATATTGAATCTCATTGAGCTACTTACTTGAATAATACTAAAGTATTTCCTTTTATTGGAGCTTGTTTGCCTTTTCATTTTTATAGGTGGTTGCTACTCTTTGATTATGAGAAAGAATAAAGACATCCCTTTTACCTTTTCAGGAGCTCTTATCGTTATATACCTCTGTCAGATCACCTCCTGCTCCTCTCTCAACCTTTCTGTCCATTGACTTTTAATAAATATGTGAAACATCTCTCTTAGCACAGATTGGTATTGTCAACCTCAATATATATTCCTGCATATTGAAAAGGAACCATGTTTTTCTTCTCCTTGAATTCTGTCAATTCAATTTAGTGGCAGCAGAATATTCCTTCATACGGGGCTTTCTGTAGAAGCATTTTTATCTGTGTAACTCAGAAAACTGTCCCTCATTATTTTAGTTCATGCTGCACTTAATGCAGAAAAAAGATTCACAGAGATAATTATTCTGATTTCTGTTAGAGAACATTATAGAAACAGCATTGACTGCTCTCCAGTCTTCTCGTCTCAGAAGAGAAATTTGAAGTCTGTCTTTTAGATACTGCCTCGTGTAGAGAGAGGTTCTGAATCCCAGTTGCAGCACAGCTTTTTGGTTTAGTCTCTCATCTTTTTTCCCCCCACTTATTCCCTAAATATTGCAGTGATGTTGAGGAGTACAGCTTCACCGTCACCTTTTACTTTGACTCCGGGCACATTTCAAATCAAGTCAAAATGCTGCTCCTACATATTTTGTAAGGGACTTGATCATATTGTGTATCCTAGGTGTGCTTTGAAAATGCATCTGTAGTTGAGCTGTCTAAGGGTCCTAGATGGAGAAATTACTACTTTATATATTCCAATTAAACATAAATAACCTGAATGCTAATCTACCTGAAAGTTTCTAATCTAAGCTAATCTACCTGAAAGGTTAGTCCTGCGTTTGGGTCTCTCTTCAGCATCCTCTGTACTTGATATTAAATAATGGAATTTTTTTTAAATTCTGTGCCACACTCTACATTTCCTCCTCTTTCAAAGCCTATGATTTATAGATCTTACTTGAGTTTGGTTTTAATTACTGGATGTTCTTTGCATTATGTAAGATATTGCTACAAATTCCATTGATTGAAATAGAGATACAACAGGATCAAATAGTTTGAAGATGAATGTAAGCTAAATCAGGCTTGAAATAAAACACACTTTTCCTGGGAGAGTGGTTAACCATTTGAACAGCTTAGAATAGTTCATATGGATTCTCTGTCACAGATTATTTTTTGAGGCTAGTTGTTTTACTAAAAGATAAAATTACTGAAAGATTAAATTAGGAATTAGTTTAGGGATGTCTTATGCCATGTATAATATAACAGACCAGATCAGAAGATTACAGGGATCATCTCACTCCCACTTAGGAACCTGTGGAGTACGGTTTAGTTCAGATCCTTTTCTACGAGGCTGGAGGCTGGTTAGTGCTCCTTGTCTCTCTGTCTTTGGTGTCTGTCTCCTTTCTTTCGACTGGTGCAGGGGAATTTAGTAATGCTTATCTTCAACAGGTTTTGTTCTGTTGTGTGAAATACACAGACAAGGCTCCTATGAATATCCATCTGCCCTATTCCTGCTTTGATCCTTTTTCGAAGTGGAGTAAACTCAAAGTTGTATTGCCTTGGTGTTAGGGGTTTGCATCCTGCTTAGGGAAAAAAGGATTGTGCGTGGTAGGGTAGCTGTGTCCAAGAAGGCGGCTCATGATCTCCAAGATCAGCTTAGACAGGTGCATCAGATTGTACAGTTCAAAGGCTTAAAGATGTGCAAATATGTCCCTTTGTTCATTTGAATTAGCGCTCTCTACATAAAACCTAAAGGAAAAATTAAGATCTTGATTTGTTAGCCTACCAGCTTGAAAGAACATTCATGCCTCTAGCAGATGCTACATTGCGAACATTTTTTGTCTCAGTCATTACTTGGAACTTGTAAACATGAGATTCAAAAATAACCATGCAGGTGTGTGGTTTTGCTGACCCTCATGACTGCTTTGTTAATCTTATTAAAGTTCATATTCTTCTGAGGTGTGAAAGTTGTTCACATTATCAGGAACAGGCTGAGAAGCTTGGCTGTCCCATTACCTAGTGATTATCAATTCAGTCTCTCAATCTCATGAAGATCTATGTTTCTTTCTGCCTCAGTGACATCTTTTCCTTCATTTCTTCTAATTCTGTACAAAGTGCATTAACTTTTCTCAAGCTCCAAAATGCAAAAGTGCCCAAGTGGATGGGACATAGCCGTTTTGGTACATAGGACACATCTTTAACATGTTTGTCTTACGTGTGGGCATGTACATGCATGTTAGATCTCTTGGTCAGGTGCATCAGTTTATGTGGCAGGAGGCTGCTGTGCTTTGGATGATGTGGCAGAGAGGTTTCACGGTACAAGGCTACAGCTGGGAGGACCGTGCCTCTCGGGTCTGCCCTGCTGCAGTAGTGTCCGTCTACAGCCCGCGTTTCCTTCCAGGGTGCCGTGTACCAGACATATTCCATCAACAGATCAAAATCAGGCAAGAGAGGGCTGCAGCGCTTCACTGCGAATACACAGTGGCGGGCGTGAGGCAAGGGAGCAGAGGCATGGCTGGCTGACTGAGTCTCATGCAGTCCGAATGCAACACAGGTTGTAGGAAAAAAAGGTTGAGGTCTGGATTTTTTAAGGTATTTAGATAACCAAGATGCTGAAAACAGTTAATGCCTCTTTCTCGTGGCCCTTTTTCCTCTGAAATAAAATGAAACCTGGAGCTTAAACTTCAAGCTTTTAGGACCTTATGTCTTACTGACATTGATGAGACTTAGACTCTGTCTTAGAGTCTGTCTGTAAATCCAGGCCCCTACTGAAAATTCCAGTGTATGACTGCCTGATCTTCAGCATCCACATACTCTGAAAACTACACCTCTTAATGACTTAAGTTCCTGAAGTCCTAAGGCTTTTGGAAGTCCAACAGCTATTCAGTATTTAGAACCCTTTCACAGAATCATTAAGGTTGGAAAAGACCTTTAAGATCATCAAGTCCAACCATCAACCCAACACCACCAAGCCCACTAAACCATGTCCCGAAGTGCCACGTCTACATGTTTTTTTGAACACTTCCAGTGATGGTGACTCCACCACCTCCCTGGGCAGCCTGTTCCAATGCTTGACCACTCTCTCCGTAAAGAAATTTTTCCTAATATCCAATCTAAACCTCCCCAGTCGCACCTTGAGGCCATTTCCTCTCATCCTATCACTAGTTACTTGAGAGAAGAGACCAACACCCACCTCACCACAATGCCCTTTCAGGTAGTTGTAGAGAGCAATAAGGTCTCCCCTCAGCCTCCAGACTGAACAACCCCAGTTCCCTCAGCTGTTCCTCATTAGACTTGTTCTCCAGACCCCTCACCAGCTTCGTTGCCCTTCAGTATCTCATACCTTCATAGGGGCTAGCAAAAGTTCTTCCCCATTGGATCTGTTTTCTTGGTTTAAATTTTATGCTAAGTATATAACCCCCAAGTTATTGTATTTTTGAGAAATCCAACACGCAACAGACTAGTTCTTCATTAGTAGGCTTCTTTTATGGAAGTCAAGACTGTTCAGCAGTTTAGTAGGCCTATTTTATTAGTATTGACTAAAAATTCCCAGTATTAGTCATCATAGAATCCTAGAATTCTGATTTTTTCAAAGGCTTGAAATAAAAACAACAAAAACCTGCTTATAAATATATACTACCATGGGGTGGGGGGAGAAGAAAAAAAAAAAACACACACACACACAAAAAAACCAAAAAAAAACAAAAAAAAAAACCCAAGCCACACAACAACAGCAACAACAAACTCCAAGCTGTGACCCTTTTGTAATAATGCATTTTTCTAAGGAAAAAATATCCCTGGCTTCCACTAAGATTTTTCAAACTAATGTTTCAGCACTTCAGTTCCTCCTGCTACCTCTTTTCATTTGTCCTAGCAGTATGCCTATGCCTGACCTTAACATTTTGGATGAATTATCAGACACAAGTACAGTCTTTTATATTTGATGGAGTTTAGTCTTTGCACGGTGAGGTTTGATGCAACAAAAATTACCTTCACTTGTAAAGTAGCTCAGTGTAAACGTCTATTGTGTATGTGCCTGTTTTGTTTACTAAAATTTGTCCCTAAACCTTTAAGCCTAAAACTGTGCATATTTTGAAACATTCCGTTGTATGGAATCTCATATTTAACAGTTTCATGGGGTTGTTTCTTTGGAAGTAAAAGTGTTTCTCAAGAGCCTTTTTTTCTATCCGCTCCCAGTGAAAAGAGGAGAGCAAAGCCATCCGCTTACCACAAAGCAGTGCCACCACAAAGGAAAGATTAAGGGTTTAGAGAGAGGTCAATGTGGGTTTTTCTCTAACTAAACACTTTCCTAAAGTTTCCTTGTGGAAAAAATAATGAAGTCATCTCAGAGTTTTTAAAGAATTTTTATTTCTTTTTCACCGTCTGCATTCGCTTGTCTTCTCAGCATGGATGTTTAATCTTTCTAGGCTTTGTGAATTGGCCCAAATGAATAAGTGGTGAGCTGTCTCTCTAGGAGCTAGAGGCTTATTCTAAGGCCCTAATCACTGAGTAAACACATCTTTGCCCTCCCTCTCTTACAACTGCTATATAATAGTTGAGATTCTAGCACAGTAACCTGGATATTGCAGGGATCGACGCTTTGAAATGCAGAATGGCTGATCCTCAAAAACAGACAGTGCCTGATCTTCCCCTGCCTCTTTCTTCTTTTTAAATTAAACATCACCACAGAAATGCTGTTTTATTGCTTGATATTGTGCATCAGTGCCCTGGATTTTCAAGTTTAGTTTCAGTCAACACTGTTGGCTGCACTTATATGGATCTCTGCATGTTGGGCTTATTAATGGTCCTTCCTGGTACATATGTATGTGGTTCTGAAAAACATTTAAACTAAATTAGACAAACATTAATGCAAATTACTAATCCTTTTCCCAAAGTCTAATGTTCAAATGTATTCTTCTTTTTATAAAAAGTCATTAAGTTATGTCCAAAGCCAGCATATGAGGTATAGCCATATAGCCATACAGGTTTTTTACAGAGACAGCTTACCTCAAAATTGGGTCCCATGTCTTGCTCTATCAATACACATCAATATCTAGTGTTCAGTGTTACTTCCGATGAAAAGATTTGAAATTACTTTAAATAAAAGTCTGAAAATAGTATTTACCGTATTGTCTCAGCAAATATGTTCAAGTAGGATTTTAAAATAAAGTAAGTGGCGTATATGGGTATGGGGAAATGGAAAGTTGTAATTTTCTGAATGGTATTTATAATTCATTGAATACCAGATATAGGATCACGGTCTTTAACTAACTCATAGTTCCTTTATGTTTTTTTCAGTCTGCTTTCTATCTTTATGTATACATAGACTCGCTTTCCAAAAGGTGGTCTGAGATTATCATGGGGACACAGCACAGCTCTGTGCTGCTGGCAGTGAAGCTCAAATATTACTTGATAGGGTTTCAGAAGAACATGGCACAGAATATTTTGTTTCAAGAGGCCACGAACACCATCCTCAACATCTTGTCTTTGCTAACATGGTCACTATGATGAGATATATCAGCACTCTCAAACTCAGTGTGGGATTTGATCCAGGTCTCCCGTACCCCTTCCCTTGCGTCTTACGCATTCGCGGTGCTGGGGTGGCTATCTGGCTCCTCAGCTCTGAGACATGTAGCCAGCTGGGCTGCCACGTGGCCTTTTGACCAGCTACACATCGACTTACGAAGTAGGTGAGAGGCCAACGTGCTGTGGGCCTCCCCACATCATACGGCTGGATGGAGAGCTGCCAAAACGTCCAGCACGTAGCGTCGCAGGCTTTGGGACTGTAAGCAGCTGTATTGTTACATACTCATTTTCTTCTTTTTTTGGCTACAGGTGGGGTCATAACAATACACTGTCATTTTTTCAGGTTGTTTATAATTGTTTTGTATTGTAGATGCTGTTGTATCAAGAGCTGTGTTCCTGGCTCAGGGAATTGTTCCAAATGTTATCTTTATTGGGCAGCAAGTCAAAAAAGCTCACTCATTTCTTAAGCTAAGTCTGTTTAATAAGGTTTTTGTTTTTCATTCAAATGTTGTAATTTTCATGTTCTAAGCAAATAACTTATCGCGTTTTGGTACCCAGAATAAAATACTAGGAAGCATTGAGAAGATTTACAGACTTGGAAGGATGGACCATTTGGCTTGAAATCCACAGGGTTTTTCCCTGTCTGCATGTTGAGATACTCGGCAACCTCCATAAACACCACAGGGCATACTAGCACACAAATCTGCAACAAGTAATTTTAAATTACTAAATAGCCTGAGGAAGTTTTCACTGATGTTTTCTCGTGTCTTTTCAGAGAAAGCTTCTTGCTATCTACCTCCACCATGATGAAAGTGTATTAACCAACGTCTTCTGCTCACAAATGCTTTGTGCTGAATCTATTGTCTCTTATCTGAGTCAGAACTTCATAACCTGGGCATGGGACATGACAAAAGAAGCAAACAGAGCAAGGTAAGGACTGTGAGTGGAGCAGCTTTTCTCTCAAGGAAGACCCTTATCTCTGTGTCATCTCTATGTATCGAATCTTTTGTTGCTCGGTATCTATTTGAACTAAAAACTTCATGCTCATTCTTAGCTGATCAACAAAGCTGTGCTGGCTGATTCACTGAGAATTGGACCGTCCTTGTTTTCAATACAAAGTGGCTTCTTATTCCTGTGCAGGAAAAAATAGTCAAAGAAATTATTTAATTATTTCCTTTTTGGGGATTGGGGAGATATTTTGCAAACATCGTTCTAGGAAGGTGTCTTCACAGTTTTGCATTGCAGTGCCATAATGTTATGGGAGATTAATTGTGTGTACATAGGTGTAACTGCAGTAGAACTGTCTGGGATAATAACTACTGTTAATGAAAATCTTACTTAAAAAATAATATTAATGTGATAAATCAATATTTAAAACAACATGCAAAAAATTAGAAGCTTGCAAATCATATGAACTTTTTTGAACTACAGTTTTCTTACATTACTTTGGTAATGTTCAGATATTTTGGCAGGTTGTAATATAATAAAAGCTATCCTATGTCTTAGGCCATCATTTTGCTAATGAGTAAATAAATTAAAAAAACGTACATTCCACCTCCTTCTACCTATTTTGTGTAATATAAGCATATTTTCTTATGCTTATATTAAGACCTCTCTCTTCTTCAGTTATTTATCAGTTGATAATAATCTGTTGAAAATAATGATTTTATGATTATACTTATATTTAGAAATCAGATGTATTTGGTTTTCTAACTTCGACCTTATTTCATCACCTTTACGAAAGAAGATGACTGCTTGCCAGGATAATGTCTTTCGTATATTATTATAATGAGAGTTATTCTAACTTTTTAACAAAAGATGCAACAGTCATTTAGACTGGGATAAGGTTGCTGCTTTTTTACACAATTCCATTGATTATTGAACAATTAAAAGTACGTATTCATGTTTCTTTCTCTTGTGGCTTGCTAGAATAGAGCATTCATGCATTCCTATTCTTAAATATGTAAATTATAGTTAATATTTCTTTACTAAAAGTGGGCATGGAGAACAGAACAATCTGTTTTTCTAATACGCTTTTTAAATGACGCTTGCGTTTCATAGGAATTCCTCACTCAACCTTCTGCACTTCATCAATGGATGAATCAGCAGCTATATTCCTACTTTAAATTATTCTAGAGACGAGTTAAAGATTATGAAAAAAGCAGTCACAAAAACAGATAAAAAGTTTTTTAAAAGGAAGAAAGAGAGGAAAAAGAAACATCTAAATTCTTTCATGGGACCAAATACTGGAAAGTTGCTTAAGTCTTTTGGTATTGCCATTCATGGGCAGTAAGGAGCCTCCTCCTTTTCTTTTATCCCACAAGTTGGTGTAGAAGGAAACACTATTTCTAAACCATCTGTAGTGGCTATGTTCAGTTGACTACCTGCTGTTCTATTGTTCGCTTTTCTATTTAATTCTCTAGTTTCTTTTATTTTACAATGACAAAAAATTGCAGTGTAGTTTCTTTTGAAAAACTGTGTTTGAGGGATTTTTTTTTTATGACTGACGATCAACAGCCATGTAATTGCTTTGTTGTGTTTTACTAAAGAAATCTATTAAGTAGCACAACTTTGATACACTAGTAATAAGAGTTTGCAGGTTACAGAGACACCTGTGGTGACCAAAGCGACAGAAGCTGCTTATTAGAAAGAGCCTGTACAGCTGTGTCCTATTAACTCCTTATGACACTTCTTAAAACACAAAATAAAGGGCTTGTTTAAGGCTTTACAGCTATTCTCAATGAACCTAGTCACCGATTGTGCAGTATGATAGGGATTTTAAGCCTTCATTTTTTGCTTTCTATTAACAGCAAAGAAACTGTGATAGTAACAGTGAGGTCAAAAAAAAGTAAGGGGTAAACAAGGCATGCTGGCTTGAATTAGCATAATTTCTCAGTTGTGTTTACTGTCACATCCTGCTACTTAGACTGTGATTTCTTCAGAGAGGAGCATGGTGCTTCCTTCTTCCTTTGGAAAGTGCCAGTGCACTGGGCATTCCCATAAATAAATACTCAGTACCTCTGTTTAATTACTGCCCTTCATTATGTGACACAACAACAGTGGTCTTGGAGCCTATTCTGTTCCGCATCCCTATGAATACAGTTGCATGTAGCTTTTTGTTTGAATGGTGAGAAGACAATGGCAACAACAGAAGGAACTGCTTTTTGCATGCTGGTGTAGCCCAAGAGCAACTTACTTGTGGTGTTACAATTGCATTAGTCAAAAAGCCAGGGTGGGAAGGCAGAGGAGTCAGGCTCACTTAATTTACAGCAATCAGTAGGGACACCTCAATGGCAGTAGTAAAAGTCAGGTTTTCAGTACTGTAGCATGGCATGAGTGAATTCAAACAGCTATAAATACTTTGCTCATATAAGCCAAAAAATCTTGAATATTCTGGGTTTTTTCTTGCTCTTTCCTGTCCTCTTTCTGACATCTATGGATGTCATTCTGTTCCAAAAACAGTCTTAATAATAGTTTCCATCTTTCTCGTTAATGAAATGGAGGTCCCTCCTGAACTCTGTAGAACAAAGCCCGTTCCAAAATCTTGTCATTTTTTACTGATTTTTAATATATTTCTCAGCTGACACTGATGTAGGGACATGCTTTGAATCCTGTTACTGTATAGTAGCACTTTTCACCTGGAATCTCTCAGTCTTGCTCTTCAACACCCATTGCAACAGAATGAAGAGAGTTCTGTAGGTAGGACTAGAAGTAACGCTGTGTGCAAGCGCCAAAGTAACTGTTAGCAGTAGTGCAAGAGCATAAGCATTACGACTTTGGGAGTCAGATTTTTAAAAATTACTGACTACAGCCACCCAGAACTGTTCCTTTGTCAAGTTGAAGGAGAACTCTAGTTAATACAGTTAAGAAGATGTTTTGTTTTGGCTTCCACAGTTTTTAATTGCCTCTGACATAAGGTTTGCAGGAAAGGGAGCAATTACTTTGGGTAAGTGCTGCAAATTATGTATTTTTTCATTATCATTACTAAAATTAAAAAATCTTAATAAAAGGCGCAAAATAATATAATAAAATAATTAGCCTTCATTTAGGAAAAGAACATGCTGTTTTTATAATACTGTTAAGGTATTATAAATTTATAATATATATAAATTATAAATTTCAGGTATCTACATGAAAGCTTTATCACCTATAGTTTAGACTTTAGTGAGCAACTGTTTAGAATATTCTTGTAACTTACGTTGTCCATGGTCAAAGGAGGAAAAAAAACCCCACAAATCTACAGGTATATCTTTTCCTTTCTTGTTGTATTCCACTCAATTTGGAGTGAATCACGAGCTTAAAAAAAAAAAAAAAAAATCACTGTTTCCTTTCCATTGTTTGCTATGGAGATTTGCTACCATGCCACTCCACACAGCAGAAATACACTTACAGGAGGTGTCAGGGCAGTAGTAGTGGTCCTTGACAGCAGTGGTGTTGACAATTCTGGCCCCACCTTTTTATTCCAAGCACGCTCACCAGCTGCTTTGGGCTCTCACATGGGCTAAGCAATTCCTCGGGTTTCCAGAGAGGTTATGAGGTACATAAGCAGGAGAGCCAGACATGAGCGGCTCTATTTCTGGCACTTTCTGCCTTTCAAGAATTGACTAAATACCATTATTCTAATATAATTATGTGTGTGCATATGGGAGGTGTATATATACGTATGCAAGCACATGCCTAACTATTTTTGTTAATTCATTAATACACATTAATAGAACATATTTGTATCCAGGACAGGTATATGGTGAATATGTATACATATATATATACCTGCACATGCACACATACCCTTAGGTTTGTACACACAGCATTTACAAACATAGATTAAGCATAATATTAACATATTTCCAATATACATAGTGTTTTCCAAGCAAAGCAATGCCAAAACTATGAAACAGTGACTTGAATGTTGGTAGCAGCTTTTTAGCTTTTGATATCGTTGCCCTTTGGCACTGTATTTCAAGGTGTTGCCAACTTTTCTCAGCTCTGATGACAGGTACTTGTTAGTTGTAATGTTCAAATGATAGTTTTTCACTTTGCTTAAGCTTAGGAAAGAGTTAAATGGACTGGAGCGCTTCTCAGCAGCAGGTTGTCTTCACCTGCAATTCCCGTCATCAAGTAATTAGCCATATTCACAGTTGCTGACCCTTAATACTAACCTACTGAATGATGCATGCCTGGATGAAGACCAGTTGACCATATTACTTCAGCTCCCCAATCCTATTTGATCCTTCAGCAAATATATTGCAGGTGTGGGGTCTGGGAGAGCTGGACTCGGTGAGTTAATTTCTCACTGCCTTTTCAGGAGTGATTGTAGATTCTGCATATGTTGCTTGCAAAACTGTTGGACATGTTCTTCAGGCACTAAATCCTTAACAGGTTTCACGGAACAGTGTGAAAACCTTTTCTATTGTATTTTGCAATATTTTATTTAATTTACTTTAATAGCAATACAGTGCCAGTCAATAAAAACAGGTCAAAAGTCTAATTAATGTTTTAAAAATAAAGGTTCTCAAACACCAGGCGAGTTTGTCATTTTCTCTATGGTTTGTTTTGAGGAGGAAGAGGAAAGAAGGTGAGGAGGGAACCCTTCTGTTCCATGATTACATCCCACCCGCTCATTTTCTCCTTTTCTCCTTTGCTTTTGATTTTAGTGGCGGTCTTAACAGAATGTCAAGATCAATTTGCAGCATGGTTTAACTCAAGGTTTGCATTCTGCCAGCAGCAATTGTCCTAACGAACAATACCGTGTGCTCTTGTAACTTCAGAAGCTTTTAGAAGGCTCATGGCAAGGGCAACATCTAATGACTTTATTAGTATAGGGTTTCAAAATGGGCTCAGTAATTGTTCACATCTCTTTGTCATCTAGTCATAATTACTGCATCGTATTGTTAGGGGTTGCACTTGTGAATAGTTTCCTAATAGCACTG